GTCTGAAGGCTACTTGCCAATTTGCTCCTTCAGCTAGCTGGCTACCTAGAAGGCGCAAGCCAGTCACGGACTAACACTGTGGTAAGCATCCTACAAAGACCTTTCAACTTAGTAACCCTCCCAGGTTCTAAATGCGCCAGTACGAACACTTCCCAATGTATAGCAAAACTGAGAAGCAGCTCCCGAACGGGGAACCCTTTACAGCAGCAATCACACCAGCAGCACTAACAGCAGCATAAACAGCAGCAGAAAAAACTGGGTTTGCTATGCCACCATCTTGGTGGCAATGCAGGGCCTCTCCTTGCCGCCTAGCTTCAGCTATGCCCAGAAGAGGGCCGATGAGCGGGAGGAAGAGATTCAAACAACAGCAGCAAGCATCGGCAGCAGCAGACACAGCAGCAATCAGCAGCAGCAACCACAGCACGTTTTCCAGAAAAGCTGAGAGGGCATTGAGGCCGTTTCCTGGATCTCCTGGCTCCAATACAACCGCCTATTTCTCCTCCCTTCAACAATGAACACATGGATCTTTGTTGCCTCCCCAGCCCTTCAAGAGACTGATATCAAAGAATAGCATAGAAACAAGGAACAGGATGTCTCTCTACAGGTTCCGTTGCTGGCGCGCGGTTGGTTAGACGTCCGCTAGAACACCGCGAACTCGCGGGGCCCGTGGACAAGCCATCTCTGTAGCAGCAATGAAAACAGAACCGGAAGCAGCAGCAGTTGCTGCTGCTCTGCTGCAGCTGAAACCTGTCCCGATGCTTCCCCATACAAGGTCGAGAGCTCAACTCTGTGCAGTCCGTTTCTCCATTGACTTAACTGTAGTGACTCAGCAACTGCGAAGAAACAAGCAAAACACGCACAAGAAACCGGAAATTGTCCCAAAGCAACGGCACAGAATGTACCTAAGCAAAGAATGCATGAATCTTTCCATTTGGTACGACCGCAACGCTATCTCCTTTATCCCGCTGTACTGAGCTAACCCCGTCTAAGTCAAAAAGAGCCTCTAGAAAAGATTCGGAAAAGCTTCACAGCAAATTTGTACCTGAGCGAGCCACTGAGCTTTCTCTCCAACAGCTGCATTGCCTTCCTCGGTTGCCAGGCGCTCGGCTTCCCTCTGAAGCTGAACGACGAAGCTTGCAGAGCGCAAGTGGCCCCCCAGTGTCCGCCCAAATGTCGATAGGAGGTCCCTGTGCAGTGGCGCAAGACAAGAGTTCCAGCCGTCCGCCCGTGCATCACGTGAAATACGGGGACGCAAATGGCTCTTCTAGTTCCTGTCTATATGATGTTCTCCTGTGAAACCCCACTTCCCAGTGCGTTGTGGTACAACCGCTATGTGGCTTGGAGGCGATGTCGAGTCAGGTCGACCCAGAATGGCAAAGGCAAAGAAAGGATCGCTTGAACATGGATGTAATAATGGCACCCCGCTCCGCAGGTCCCTCACCCTGTAAGCTCCAGTGCTTGCTGCACCATCTGGGCTGAGCCGTGGACCCAAGTCGGGGCTTCCGCGACGGCCTTCACGACTTGCAGCATCCCATTGACTTCTTTGCGCAACACTTCCTGCAACTGCGCCTCTTTTAAGGCGTACACGCAGCTGGCCAATGCCTCAAGAGTAGCTGACCGCAGCTCGTGCACATACCACATCCACTCCTCATTAACCTGTCCATACACGCATACGCAAAGGCAGCAATAAAACATTCATATTGGAAGGAATGCACCACTTGGCGAATCACTGACCTCAGGAGACAAGCGGCACCCTTCCCCCACTAAGCATGAAGACAGAAACAGGGACAAAGGCATACAGATACTGAAACAAAAACAAATGAGCGGCACTGCACAAGAGATGAAAAAATGAACGGCGCTGCAAAGGGCCCCCGGCGTTGGCATTCAGGATAAAATGAGCCGTGGATAAACCTAGAGTACAGGAAATAGTCGCGTTATGAATACAACTTACTTGCCAGTTGGGGGGGCCCGCATCGTATGGGGTGACACCCGCCTGTACCAGCAACTCAATCAGCCATGGGGCGAAGCGCGCAAACTTCGCACCCCCGAGA